CGCCGCCGGCCCGCTGGACCCCGAGCTCCTGCGGCGCGCGGCCGCCGGGCTGGGCGCGGACGCGGCGCCCCCGGACGACGTCCGCGACTCGCTGCAGTTCCTGGCCAACTACTGCGCCACGCAGCTGCACGCGCGCCACTGGAGCCCGCGGCGGGCCGCGTCCGCGGCGCTGCCCAACGGGCGCTGCGAGTCCCGCGCCGGCACCGACAGCCCCGGCGCGCCCGAGCCGCCGGCCCGTCTGGCGGGCGCCTTCCCGCTGCTGTTCTTCCACCTGGAGGTGGACGGCGCGCCCTTCGGCCGCGTGGTGGTGGAGGCGCGCAGCGACGTGGCGCCGCGCATGGCGCGCAACTTCGTGGCGCTGGCCACCAGCGAGCTGGGCCTGAGCTACCGCGGCTGCGCCGTGTTCCAGTGCTGGGAGAACGAGTCGGTGATCACGGGCGACTTCGAGCTGAACAACGGCCGCGGCGGGCGCAGCGCCTTCGAGGAGAGCTTCTTCATGCCGGACGACACGCGGCTGGCCGCCGTCCGCGGCGCCGTGGGCATGCGCCGCTCGCAGAAGCGCCACGACAATCTGGGCCTGGTGGGCTCGCAGTTCCGCATCGTGCTGCGCGAGATGCGCGGCTTCACCGCCATTTTCGGCTACGTGGTCGAGGGGCTGGAGCTGGTGGACCGGCTGAGTCGCACGGGCGACAGCGCCGGCAAGCCTCAGGCCGCCATCGTCATCGCCAGCTGCGGCCAACTCAACTAGCCGCCCTCTCTGTTCACTTCGCGACCTGATTTACACTCTTATCCGTCGGACCAACCGTTTCCTTTCGTCTACGAATCCGCTCTTTGACCTATTTTTATATGTAAGAGAAAATTTCGATGTATTTACCGACCGCGACGCGATTTTGGAAGTTCGTCGGCTTGAGCTTCTGTAGTAGATTCGCGCCCGCGGCGGCGACCGACCTCGCGGTGTCCGCTGCGGGCTAGTTCCTAAGTGATCGTCGTAACCTCGTATAATTTCCGGTCTTACATGTGTGTCAATATGTAATAGAGAAGTATTTACCGTGTAGTATATATAGCGGAGCGAACCCGCTCGTCGTGCGCTAGTAGAGATCGTTTGTTAAATCGACGTTGTTTAAAAATATTTATATAATACAAACAATCAAGCGAACGTTACTTCTCGAGCGGCGAAGCGACGTGTGTGGAGGATATCGTTCCGGTGGATCTGCGCCACACGGTAGGCGTATAGCGGAAGAGCGGATCTCCGGACGAACAAGTCTGTGATGTTGGCCGGTGCCTGCTTTATATCGGATATTGTATTGCACGTTGCGGCGCCGAGCGGCCGTCCTGCCGCTGCCTGCGGCCTCGCTCTTATATCGTTACATTAAGAATCACTATTCTCATATATGAGTATGTTGTAATTCGTGTTAAATATATGGATATATGTTATACAGAGATGTATTAGCGTTTCGTTTGTCGATATAGTCTATGTGGCCGCCCGCGCGGGCTTGTTACTGACGCGGATTGTGATCGTCAATAAACTATGTGAGCAGCAAACAACTAGTTTCAATTATTTAAACAGAGTTAACTGTACGTTCTTCACCCTTCAAAAGTTCACCAACAACCTGGGCAAGTTCAAAAAACGAGATGGCCGCAATACAAAATTCAAGCGTCTTATAACTAGTTTACTATAACTTTGAATATAAACGCTTTTTTTTTTATTCTAATGTCAGTGTGCATTTGACCTCCATCTCACCTGAAGGAAAGTGCTGATGAGGTCGAAGGTCGACGATGGAGCATGCACACCTAGATAATGCCTATTCACTCTCGCCTTGAAAAGGTCCAAGTTATAACGTTCAGAGAACAAGTCTGCAGGCAGGAAATCCCACTCCATAGCCGTTCGCCATATAAATGTGGAAGCGTAACGCTTCGTGCGAATCTTTGGAATATCCACAACATAGGGATGGAAGCCAAGCCTACGCCTAGTCCCCCGATCGCACACTCTCCGTGATATATCCTGTAAAATACCGAAAAGCAGGCAGCTTTACGGCGGTGTTCAAGGATCTGCATGCAGCTTCGCCTCTTGGCATGCTTGTCAATTGAATCCAAGGTGGCCAGTTGATATGTAGCAGAGCCATCCCAAAGGTGGCTACAGTACTCCATACACGACCGGACTTATGCTTGATACAGCTGAAGCAACTGTCACCCCAGTGTGAAGTAACGCCTCACCCTGGAAAGGATGCCAAGCTTCCTTGCTGCATTTTTGGCGATGGATTCAATGTATCTGCCGAAGTTCAAATTGGACGACAGGTGCATTCCAAGTAGCTGGAGACGGTCGGCTATCCGAAGGTATGCACTTGTCTAAAGCATGCTGCACTACCTAACATGTGATATGAACAAGTTTGAGTCCCTGTAGGTCAATCAATCCTTTTAGAAACTAGTGAAACAAAAGCCGCAATATTTATTTCTTTACCAAAGTATTTCTTCTAATAAAAGTGTTTCAAAGAAATACACGTTCACCATCAACCGATGTCGACACATCGATAGAACAAAGATCTATGTGCAAGGATACTTGTTCTCAGGACATAGTACATTTCGTTCGTTCTTCTTCGCTGTAGATGTCAGATTGACTGTTGTTCGATTTTTCATTTCCGAAACGAAATACGAAATATAAATTCTCAAAACACCTTTACATAGGCCTTAGTTTGAATAATAAAATTATTTTCGTAACGTGCTTATTCTCTTCGCTATACAATCACATCGGACTCTGTTCTTCGGATGAGTCGATGTATTTATAAGTCTCACTGCTGGGCAAGGGTCTCCTCTCAGGCGAGGATTTACTTCTCACCTTTTCCGAGTGTAGTGAGCTTTCTTTGACGTGCAGGTTTCGTCTCGATGTTTTCCTGAAGAGTCCAAACAACCGCAAATGGCTTTGGTCGATTCCGCAAAACAGTGAATAAGTGTTGAATGAAACCACTTAGGAAAAAATATATAGTAAAATTGAGGATATGCACTGATTACTATACGGTGTGAAAACACGATTCCTAAACATTTTCACAATAGGAAAAAAAACACAAACTTACCTCGAAATTTTACAAGAAAGTATTCAATAGGTACTTTACAATACCAATGTTTTTATTTATATTAACTGAACTAAATAAATAGAACACGTATAATGAAATGAAACAATTTATTTCAGACATTTACAAGTCCATATAGTGTTAGTGGGTACTTACAACTATGTTAGTAGAAAGCAAACTGTTCATTTTCATGAGTAAGGATGGACATCCAATACTTAAGGATTGGGCTGTCCATCCTCTCTGCTACCTAAGGTGGTAGGTGTAGTAGGTAGAAGACTGTTGGTGCTGCCTCTCACTCTAGCCAACAGGGATGCCACTCTCTTGCGAACGACTGCCTGAAAACAAGCAAGCTAGACTCCGCGAATTACCCTGCGGCACTACAGTGTCGAGGCAGCCCCAACAGTCCCCTGAGGGCGTTGTTGAATTGGACACGCAAGGCACTGTATGCATTTTTAGTGTAATTGCTCCACAGGTTGCACGTGTATAGGGTCTGGAAATATGTTTTTAACCGACTTCAAAAAAGGATGAGGTTCTCAATTCGACTGTATGTTTTTTGTATGTATATTACGCGATAACTCCGGTATTTGTGAACCGATTTTCATGAATCTTTTTTTGTTGGAAAGGGAGTACTTCCATAGTGGTCCCATTTCATTTTGAAGAAAAGCATCCACCTTTAAAGGTGGCTGTTCATGCATGAAGATTCATTTTTATAAATAGCGCCTAACTTTAATTTAGGAGCAATTATTTTAATGGTTGATTTTGCTATTTCTCCAATTCAAGGCGTTTTTCTCTCAATATACTTTGAGTAGTGAGAACCGATTATTATTATCTCCAGTGTATAGTGGCGAACTAAGGGACATTTCAAAAAAACTTAGCAAATTAGTAAGTAATTCCACGTACTTTTGAGGTCGTTTTTTTTTAGTACTCTGTACTGAGATTATGAAAAGGGTGATTTTAGGGTGTAATGTGCTGCGGGCCAGCATATATATTCTCAATTCGTTTGCGAACCGATTTTGATGATTCTTTTCTTGTTGGAAATAGGGTACCTCAGGATTGGTCCCATTTAAATTTGAAGAAAATGTTCCACCTGTAAGCGAGCACTTTCTGGTAACCGAGATCAATAAAACTTGGCAAATAGATTCCACGAACTTTTGATATCGGTTTTTTTAGTACCTTGTACTGAGATAATTTAAGCTACTGCTTGTTCACTGTCCTGACTTCCCTGACAAGAACGAGCATGAAACTCTAGGGATTGCTATTTTCAAATTAACTTAAGTGCATTTGAATAATATTTGTACACCCTTGTCTAACACGTAGTGTTCAATTTTGTAATATGACTTTTCAATTAAAATATTTTTAAAGCATGTTTTAAACTTAAGAAATGATAATCTTAATATATGCTCCGGAATCTTATTGTAAAAACGTGTACCCATAAAAGGACCGTTTATCGTGGTACAGTTGACACTTAAGATTTAAATCCAACTCTAAGCCGCTTACGATAACAACGGTCCAAAGTACAAAGTGTCAAGCTCGACTTAGACTTAGTTCTAAGGTTAATACAAAGTGTAAAAAGACCCTTCACGAAGCCGAAATATACGCATAGTGTACATTAAACTGAAGCACATGAAGCAAAAACAATTGCTGTAAAACAACTTTCGTTTTAGGTATGGAAAAACAGGTTTTTATGATGCGCAATGTAACGCGTGGAACAGAATGCATGAGTTGAGTGTTTTCAATCTGCGTTCAGTCTGAGCTCTGATCGTAGTATGTACTTACTAAGCGAGATGACCTCGTAGTTTTCTTTGGCTGCTGTTCGCACTTCCAAACTGGGTGTCCTCACACCACGTCGAGAATAGAACTGAACTGCACTCGGATGTTCAATCCCGTAAAATCGACCATGAACCATACCGTAAAATAAAATCATGTTAACATATACAACTTTCGAGCACTAAATGAATGTCAGGATACCTTCCAAGTTTTTATCACTCAACACTCAAACAGAAAACACAAACAGTATGCACTGAGCAAAACGTAGTTTACTCGACTTCAATAACAAACTGCGCTCATTGACGCCACTATTCGAAATAAACAAAAGAAATGTTAGGAAAGCTTTGAATATCGCCTCCTTCTTGACCCGCGAGCCCTTCTTGCGGAGATCGATCGATCGATGCTATACGTCGCATTTGGTTCTTTTGTCTAATTTTCTATATTATAAATAAATAAATAATAAATAACGCACACACTCAACATAGCCCCACACTAGGGAAACCCTGAGTCGCGGGTGCCATGGACACACACATAGACAACCACAAATTACACCCAAACTCACGAGAGAAATAAATGTAAGCCATACAAACATTTCGCCCGGCCCGGGAATCGAGTCTGGGACCTCTGCATGGCAGTCCGGCATGGTAACCGTTCGACCACGGAGGCAGTCAAATATTTATAGACAAATATATATTACAATGTATAAAGACAAAACAAAATACTCATTAAATAATCTTATTTAGTTTTTAATGAACAACAGTACAAATGACCATGCGCGTGTAATCTCGTCCGTCTGCCTGAGGTACAGGTACATCTGGCGTTTGTTTTGTGCGTAATTGAATAGCGGCGGTCGCCTTACGTGTGCGTTCGATATTCATTGCGGTTTTGTAATTCGAAACGCCTCGTTGCAAATTTGAAAAAAAATTATAATGTTTGTTTGAAGAAAAGTTCAGTAATCATATTTCAAAACAGATTTCGTAAAAAACACGAAAAAAAAGTTTCTATTTGACCTTCTGTATATTTCTAACTATCAGGTTTCCAGACATGACCGCATACAAGAAAATACTAGTACCGACGGGAAGAATTTTTGTTTTCGTTAACTTTTTACACCCTGAATTATGGATATCTTCTTTCTTAAATTTTATTAAAATAAGTGCGCATTTGACCTTCATCTCACCTGACGGAAAGTGATAAGTTCAACGATGAAATATGCACGCCTAAATAATGTCGATTCAATCTCACCTTCAAAGGGCACACATTATAGCGTTCAGAGAATCTGGGGTCAGCAGGCAAAGCGTTTCCTCCATAGCCGTTCGTCTATTTATGTGGAAGCGTAACGCTTCATGCGATTATTTGGAATATTCACAATGTAGGATACTCCAGCCTACGTTTTTTTATGGTTGGTATGCTATATACCAACTTTAAGGCTGTGTGTAAGGCTTTGCAAATTCAGAACCATTCGCTCGTTTTTGCAATACAAATATGATTTATAAACCCTGCTTTCCGACGTGTAGTTTTCATCACGATCTTTTCCTTCACCGAAAAGCTCTGCTTGAAATGCCAAACTACAATGAAAGAGACTAAGTCTTTTAAGACCTATTAAAAAAATCGACTAATTAACGCCTCACGACTATTATAGTATAATATAATACTAGTCTTGGACCCTTAAGTATCGAGTCATAAGACTAAAAAACTGAATAAAAAACCTAAGTCGTCACTCAAAAGGCTTAAAGGACCAAAACGACTAGCATAGCACGGAGTTGTGTAGTAAGCAGTCGTGTGGCGTATGTCGTTGGGAACTCTATTCTACATAATTTACATTTAGGAAATTAAAATATATATTTTTTACTCCTGTACCTTAATCTGTCTGTTATAATTTCATAAACCATATCATGGTGCTCTTTTCTAGTTTTGAATCAAAATTCTATTGTCTATAGTACTCGCCAGTGAGCTGGAAAATTGTATTAAATTTCTGTACATAGAACTATAAGGAGTTTTATAAAAAGAATCAATTCAGAAAATCTCAGAAGTGCAAGTTCCGATTCGAATCCACGGCTTCTGCTCAAGGGGCAGTAAGTAAAATTATTAGGCTATCACGGCTTAATGCTAACGCTTTTTTTATTTTTCTGTAATTTATGGTTTAAAGTAAATTTTAATTATTCTTCATAAGAATAATTTTTGTCGCAGTCAATTAGGAATATTTATCCGTAGTAATTTTATCCACAGGCGGAGACTTGGAGACATATAGCACAGGGTAACATAGTTTAGGCTCCAGCCTTGAAAAGGGCTTTACAGACAACAAAATGGTGAGTATTCTTCAATTGTCTTTATTATCTTTTACTTGGGCACAAAACTTTTGTACATTGTCTTTTTGTGGTACCAAATGACGGCATGAACAAGTCGTGCATCTGGTGGTAAACGACACGCTTGTCCATAGCAGTTGAATTTGCCACTAAGCTTTAAATCACAAAGATCTGAAGGGCACTACCACTGCGCTCGTCAACCTGAGACATAAGTGGACAAGTCCTATGCGTCCGTAATTTCACCAGCACCCTCAAAACTTCAACTCGTGATCGAGAGGCTTCCATACCGGTTTTCCTGGCGTCGCCATCTCTGAGGTCATCCCCGGGTGGGTCAATGTAGAAAGTATTATATTGTCTCGGGTCTGGGTGTTTGATTTTGATTTACATAACACAAGTTACTTACTTTGGGATCAGAGCAATGTATGTAATGTTGTCTAATATTTATTTATTTGTGTAACCATAAATATGTTATATACAACAATAAATAACTCTCGAAGTTAATAAGTACGCGTGATGGAGGATCGGAACGATGCTCATGTAGACGCTGGATAATCAACTGCTGAAGTGAATCATGATGTCTTACTTGTGGTTCTATTCTAACATTATACCTTTTTTGACCTGTGTTATCAAAGCTTATTACTTATTGAATTTCTATCATCACAAATGAAAATGTAATGGAAATGGGCAGGACACATAATTAGGATGGATCCAGATCAGTGGACAAGGAGAATTATGGAGTGGCGACCAGGGGCCAACACGCGCGGCAGAGGTCTTCCGCCTCTTCGTAGGGTGGATGACATTAAATTTTTCGCGGGCCGCAACTGGATCCATGTGGCACGACGACGACGTAAATGAAGAGATATGGAGGAGGCGTATATCCGAAGACAGACGGAGTAGAGGCTGCTTGATTTATCATCACAAAACTGCTTGCTTCCTATTTTAAATCTAATTACTATTACGGTGTAACATAAGCCGTTTGTTGTTTAAGATTTATTATTATTATTTTTTACTTTTTATTTATTTATTTATTTATTTGCATTCCATAATGTACATTAAAGATGTTTTACATATACTGAGATCAAATTATGGACCCTGAACAGGGCACAGCAAATAGTAGAAGAGAGGACTAGTCTCATAATTGTTACACTTACTAATATATTGATATATACCAACGCTAACAGCTTTATATTATTATATTTATTATCGACTAGTTACTAAATTCAGATACCAAATTTATCTTCTAAAAACTCTTTTACATTATAATAGCTTTTATTTATGAGAAAATTCTTTAAGTTTTTAAAGAAAATCTTGTTATTTTGTTTATTTTTTATAATTTCCGGAAGATTGTTATATATTTTTATTGACATGGTGTATGGACTAGATAAATGCATATTTAATCTTGAATATGGTAGTACTAATCTGTTTATATTTCGTAATGTATATTTAGTGGGGATGGCTTTACGGTTTTTATATAAGTCTTGATGGTTTCGTACAAATTTACAAACTTCTAGTATATAGATACATAGAATAATAGATAAAAATCTAAGGTAACGTTTCGCTTGCGCTTTCATGTCGTCGCACTTCGAAGAAAATAGTAGAAATGGTTAGTTAGCGCCCGACGCGTTTTCGAAAAACCTACCTGAGTTCAGTCCGCCATTTTCGCTTTGTATCTTTCGTGCACATACTCTAAAATCCTAGAAAAATGCCTTATTGTGCTGTTTTGGAGAGGAAAAATGATAGCCCCACCGAAAATATTGCTCGTGGTGGTATTTCATATAATCGGAAAGTTAATAAATTTTAAATTTTCTGTTTATTGAAATATTTTTTTTGTTAGAAGAAACGAAAGTAAAGCTTATACCCCTGCAATATAGTCGCTTCTCTTTTGGAGAACAGAATTAATAACTCCAATTCGTCGTTGTTCAGCAATAAACCGCTAGATGGCAGCACGTTGATTGAAATTTCAATATAATACCAAAACGTCGTAACTTGCAATAATAAGTATTATGGTACTGAACTTTCCGACGACAAACCAACAGGGTAAAGTTTAAATTATATTAACAATCCAGAATTTGTTATTTCTTTTTAAATTTGAAACTACAACCAATCAATATCAAGATGTGGTAGTGTTTCAAAGAATGTGTGAGTTTTTGCGACATCGGTTCTGATAGTAATCGAGGATCAAAGCGCTTCCATTGTTTTTTTCTTCCGTGGTTTCAACCAAATGATTGTATAACAATATTCTGCAAAGCAGGCGCAATTATCTGTGGATTGTCACAATCAAAATGCATGAAAAACAGCGGTCCTACCTTGTAGTAGACGTCGGGCACGTACTGCGCGTCACTGGAGTCGCGGATGTAGCCGAGGTCAGGCGCATCGCGCGTGGGCAGCAGGATGCCGTCGCGCACCAGCGCCGCGCACTGCCCCGACACCTGGTAGCCCTCCAGCACCACCTGCTGTTGCTGGTCACCTGCGCACACCACTCAACACTCACACGCGGTCCAATAGACTTAGTTTCCTACGTTAGTTCCACAGAACAATAAATACAGTAGACGTGTTTAGTGGGTGTGATACGTGTGCCAACAGTACGCGGAGTTCCACATACTTGAGCTCGAACGTTCCGCGCGTGTTTTTAGATGGTGCGCAAGCGGAGAGGGTGGATAAATTCGAATACCTTGGGCACGTGCTAACCGAGAGTCTAGTTGATGATGACGACATCAGAGTGTCACGATGACGATGTCAGAGTGACGTTGTTTAGGTTTAGCTTTTGGAGCCGTCTCCGTGCGTCTGACAATAGGATTCTTCGTATTCTCTGTGAGCACGTGCACGATTCCTTTTTTAAACACGTGATTTCCGTGGATCGTGATGGAAATAAGAAATAACAGGCTTATCTTATAAGCGCTTTGTACTGTATTTTATTTTATTGTATGACAATTATTTCAATTTATTGCTTTTGCTTTTATTTTATATATAATTGTAATATATATTTAATATGGGTATATACCTGTCAATAAAGAATTATTATTATTATTATTACTACGTCTGTCTGTCTGTCAGATGGCGATAAACTCAAAAACGACTGAAAGAATGCTGGAACTGATTACGTGGCCTGGGGCCTAGGGTGGCCAAGACTGCAAATCCGCCACTGGTTGTTCTGGTAAACGGGCGATGTATGGAATAAGGTGGCTCACACAAGTTCAACGTAAGTTGATGATTTTACAGGTATTCAATTAGTTACTAAGCAGGGTCAAAAGTCACTTACCGGTGACGCAGACGGTGACGAATTTAGATCCGAAGGTACCCGAGGCGGCGTACCGACAAGCGTTCGGGTGAAGGTTCTGATAGTGGCCCGCCATGATACACTCTTGCGCAGATAGGAAGTGCGTATCTACGCCCCTAGCGACAAAAGTACGAACATTATAATCACGTCATGACCTCGCTGGGATAACAATGGACAAAATTCCGTTTTGATAAAAAACATATTTTTCAAAAAAAATAATATTTTTCCGGATATTTTTCCTCTATTTTTCCACATTTGACTTTAATACCTGCCAAAACTTGGAAGTTAGTGTACGAAAACGATGGAGCCAACAAGAGGTGGTGGTGGTGTAGTTGTTGGTTTTTTCGCCGTTGCACACTGGGGCAAGAGAGCTTCAAACCTGGCATTAAATATAATATGGCTTTAAAAAAATCACGTCATATATTTATCTTTAGGACTGCATACAGTATTAAAAAAAAACACATACAATGCACTGTAGATTTTTTTTACTCTCAAAACTGTCAAACAACTGTCAAAGCTTTTTAAAATTTTGATGACAAAAAAAGAACAAAATAAGCCGTTTAAGTGGTCTTATACCCCGCAACATATTATGAATCATTGATCCCTTGATCCTCACTGGCATCATCACTAGTGTCAGTATCCTGATTACTGCTATCACCAGTACCAGATACTTTGACACTGGGAGCTTTTAACAATTGTAATGCTTCTGTTGGTAGACGTTTTAGATTCATCTTTGTTTTTTTGTGTTTGCTTGTGATCACAGGATCAGAACTCAGTAAGAAAAAATTTAAAATGTCCATATTAGTTTTCTCTCTACTGCATTTTCTGGCATAATGCTCCCTATATCTTTTAAAATCCTTGTTTCTAGCCTCTTGCGCTTCTTCTGTTAATTGTCCTATGGGTAAAAGTGCCGAAGAAATAATTTCTGGTCCATGAATACCCCGACCCCGTTTTATTAGTCCATAGCGAGGAAATGAAAGTGATGTATCAAGCCAGTCCTTATTAGTTTTTTGAAATTTTTCATAAATTCTATGTGCCTTTGTCCAACGAGACCTAAGGTCTGACTTAAACATCGATAACCTTTGCTTGAATTGAACAAAATTGCTCCCATCACAATTTGTGCGCTTTTTGAGTTCTTCTACCAAGAAATCGTATTGTTTATCGAAACCATTTGCTCCAGAACAATTCATGATATCGATGAGTGCTCTTCTTGTGATAAATAATAGATTTGAACTTGTTCCTGAAATAAATAAAAATACTATTCGAAATTTGTAGGTAAAATAAGAAAAAAATATCCGCACGACTACCTATGACAATGATTTTTTTTCCAACGAAGTTGCAAAAAGTTGCAAAAAATTATGTAGGTATTATATTCTTATCACTCTGACGTATTAAAAAAATATATATTTTACACCCAATCTAACTCAGAACATAATTGAAAACAAAAATGTTTGTAGACATTGTCATAATTTAAAGAAATTAAAACATCTTATTTTGTTAATCATATTTTAATTTATGTTAATGTGTCAAAATTTAATTGAAACTTACTAAAATATAGTTACATACCTGAAGTTGACGGTTCCATCATCAAAAGTTATTATTATTATTATCAACAATTGATAATAGCACAAATACGAAGTTGTAATAATTTGAAATAACACTGAGAAGTTTTAATTATCACCAGGTGGGCTTTAACAGTGGAATCTAGTGTCCGTTACGATACGTTCCAAAGCATTAAAATATTGTGTGAGCATGGGTTAATATGTCATCTATCAAACCGCTATATGAGGGTATTTGAAAATCGAATTTCATATTTGTATTTAATGCCATGTTTTAAGCTTTCTTGCCCCAGTGTGCGTTGTGAAATAATTTCATAACTCGTTTTTCTTTATGTGCCTTTTGGCTGCACAAGTTTATTTTATAATTCACGTTAAATAAAATTTCAAAAGATATTTTTAAGCGTGGAACATAATATGAGCTTTTGAAATGACATTTTTCCAATTTTTCGGAAAACTACCCGACAGTAGGCTCACCTGATTTGTTTAACGGTGCCCTTGGCGACGTCATCGGGCAGCAAGTCAGTGAAGATCCAGCCTACGCGACGCAGGCCCAAACGCTTCGCCAGTTCTTCGAGAACTTGTTCTTTGGGATCTGTTTGCAATACCACTAAGTCGCGAGACCCTGTCTGCGGGGGCTCGTAGATCGCGGTCACGCGGGCGCGGATACCTGTTCCAAAGGTGTCGCGTAATGTTAATTTTTCAATAACAATAGTAAGACATTTATTCATAAGTAGATTTTGTAATTAAAAATACTACAGGCTGAAAAAGGAAGGCTGAAGGCTCTAATAAATCGAGTTTTGTATTTTTCTACCATTCGTGATCCATACAATGTTTTTCATCACATTTGCGAGGAACTAAATACAATATAGATATGATTCACAAACCAACCGTTATGGATTTCTTGTTTCATATTTTTTATTCGACCATATACATATAATACAACTCGAACTGAAATGTTGTAAAAAGCAAAGAGGCATACAGCCATGCTGTATTGTAAAAAAATGCTGTAAAAAAAGTTTTACACAGAAATTAATTAAAACCAATTATAGAAATTCTTAATAATAAGTCGTTAAGTAGTATGTAGCTGAATTGCAATAAAATTCCTGTTTAGATAACATTTTAAGCGAATGTTTTAATTTTGAACTTAAGCAACCTCGTTGCTTGAACTTGAACCTGACCTATGTAAGGAAGTATGTCGTGCTGCAAATAAAAAAAACTCCATACCGACCATGGCTGTAACGGAAAGAAAAAAGGCCCGAGGGTTTTATTTGGGGATTTATAGTCAAGTAAGCGACCATGCAATCATACTATTTACAAGCAAGTGTGATGTAAAAGCTCTTACCGAGCGGTACGTCGGGGTGGCTCTCATAGCGGCCGTACAGGAACGCGATGCGCTGGTGTCCCGTGGCACGCCAATAGGCCAGGAAGCGTTCCACCAAGGCCGGGTGCTCCACGAGGACGTTGTCCACGTGCCGGTACACCTGCCGGTTTAGCGTCACCGCGCTCGGCTGGCACGCCGAGCAGATGCCGCGCGGCCACGGCGGGTGCTCCTTACACCCTGACGCATACATTCATTTTGTAATGAGCATTTATTTCGGACAAAAATACGTATATCGCACCCATGCAATGAAAGTGACCCCACACAAAATCCTGTGAACTTTTTGAATTTTTTTTGTGTGCCTGATAGTAAGCTACAGCTGTCCATAACAGTTGCAGTGCCACTCAGCTCTTTAATCGCAAAGATCTGAGGCGCAATGCCACTGCGCCGGTCACCTTGAGATATAAGTTGACAAGTCCCATGTGCCTGTAATTTCACCAGCACCCTTACCCTTCTAAACCGGAACACAGTAATGCTGACATCACTGCTTGGCGGCAGAAATAGGTAAGGTGGCAGTACTTCCCAGGACGAACTCTTTCACAAGGAGCTCTATTGCTACTAACATACGCAAAATAAGATTTTAAATTGTGACATTGTCACGATATTTTTTTTTTTCTTGTAGTACTAAAGGTAACGGACTTGTTAGTCCTGGTAAATAATGATGAAATGAAACTACATACGGCTTCATAACCCGAAAATTGCTGGTGATTCCTTAAATATTTAACAAAAGAAAAGGTCACTTGTTTAATGAGCTTTTTATTGTCATTTGACCTAACAAGAATTAAATGTCTTTCATTCTCACCAGCTAATGAAGATGTTTAACCTTATCAAGATGAATAGTAATAATATCAACGCATACACACTCATAGCCCCGCACTAGGGAAACCCTGTATCGCGGGTGCCATGGACATACACAAGGACAAAGACAAATTACACCCAAACACACGAGAGAAATAAAGTAGGTCATACTAATTTCTTAATTTCTCCCTGTCCGGAAATCGAACCCGGGACCTCTGCGTGACAGGCGAGCATGGCAACCGTTTGGCCACAGAGGCAGTTGGAGCTAGGGATTGAACCAGCAGTTCTAACGAATTTCTCTATGGTACTTGTTACAGATATTTGTATTGAGTTTGAACGACTTTTTTGCCTTGTTGTTTTTTTAATCCATTACTGGAAACCCTGTAGGTTTCCGTAGCTCGGGGCTATGAGAGTGTGTATTATTATTATTACTAGTTAGTAAGAGCGGTAGCCACGTTGTTGTAGCGTAGCTGTAGGCAACGGACAATGGATCGAGTCAAGTTGAATCGAATGAATTTTTCTGTGTGTTTGTTCGATCTTTGTATCAATAACAAAAAGAAAATGTTACAAGTGTTAGTAAATAGAACATATTTGTGTCTAATGTTTGACCAAGCACTGTGAAATTATATAATTATTTTATTACGGTCAATTCCTATCTTTCCATAAATAAATTAATTAAGAAACCTGAATATATCGGTACTAAAAAACTGCCCAGGACATTTATTTTATTTTTATTCTCTTGGGAATAAAGATTTCAATTTTGATCGTGAATTTTGAACCAAATGTTCGACAGAACAAAACAAAGCAACAACAAAACAAGAAGAAATGTTTGACAGAAATTAAAAACCAAAAATAACAAAAAAAAATCTTGAATCTTGAAAATTATCCTCATCAAAAGGGCTGGGTACAGCCAAGATCACGTCAAGCTTGACACTTTGAACTTTGGATCGTTCTTATCGTAAGCGGTATAGAGTTGAATTAAAATTAAAATTTGTGGTTATCTATGTGTGTGTCCATGGCAGCCACGACACGGGGTTTCCTTAGTGCGGGACTATGTTGAGTGTGTTGCGGTATTAAAAAAAATCTGAAGTGTCAAGCTTGACGTGCTATTGACCCTGTACGACAAAGCGCGACTAGCGCTACAGGAGATTTTTTATTTTTTTATTTATTATTTTGTCTTCATTTGCAATCAGCCTTAGTTCAGATGCGTGCTATAGTTTTAATCAGGTAAAATGGAAATATTGTACTAGCTAGTATAATGTAGTAGCTACCAAACAAACATAAATTATTTACATTTTGTGTGTAACTTACCTGGTTTAATTTTACACGAGAGTTCTTCAAGTGAGATGAATTTGCCAGATGTGATCTTGCGCAAGTAAGAGTGAAAAGATATGTGCTTTATGTTGTGCTCTCGCAGGTAATTCTCGTCCCACGGCTCTAGTGGCGAGCAGTGCACACAGCAACCCTTGGAGTTGTGTCGACATCTGTATCGAATAAAAAAAATATTGTAATCACACGCACACACATATCGCTCCCCACATGGGAGAAAGGCATAACATATGACTATTTTTTAGGACGGACGGATTGTGAGGTATAAAGCTCAAACAGAGATGGGCAGTGGGTATTTTTCCCAACGCAGTCGTGGGCAGAACTAGCGAATACTGGATAATATAGTACAATTCCATAGTTATTAAAAATTTCAATGTAAAAAATACTACGTAAAGAGGCAAACACAATACCAATATTGGAATCCTGTGGATTCTCACTACTAAAGACGCACATTACGTTTCGATTTTTACGAAAATCGATTCAAGGGTATACAATCTAATGATTTTTTGCATCAATTTATTTCAATGCGATTTTCAAGCGAACAAATTCAATAGCAATGCAAATCGAAGAAGGAAAATATAAATATTTTGTAATAATATCGTCAAATTCTAACGAAACTCGACTTACAACAAATATTTAGTAGTAAATAGTATTTGCCCTCAATTTTGGGCATTAATGGGTATTAACCCGATTTATTTATATGGGCACTTGCACATCTCTGCTCTTGAATGTCGTAGTTCAGTCTATTTTGAAAGTAACCATAATCATCATTGCCTAATTTATTACATTTTAACAATGCTTTTCAATCGCAAAACACGAAAAGCTATTTTAAATATTATTGAATTGATATTCAATAATTTTTTGTGAATTTTTTTCTGAGTGTTCGATCTTTGTATTAATAATTATAACAAACTAGTGGAGTAATGTCACAAAAAATAATTGAATATCAATTCAATAAAAGTTTAAATACAGTTCATAGCGTCATCTCTAGCTGGCACTGGTAGCTGTAAAGGTATCTAAGTGTGTGACGAAACACTTTCATAGTACGAGCTTCATTCAAAGATTTTTCATATTCCTAGGTACGTATGTATACAATAAAATTAATAAGGAGCTATCTATTTATACATTAAACAATATTCAATGTAAAAGGAAAATTAACTCTTGGTTACTTGATCTAGGATATGATAATACTGAAGCTATATGTGAAATAACTCAATAGTATTATTATTTTAATAGTATCTTTTTGGTCACCGCGCCTGTTTCTCTTAATTGTCGCTTAATGCGTGCCCTGACACATTTCACCCACAAATCCATCCACACTCTATCTCCCACATACCAACACACACACGCACATTCTACCCCAACACACACACATTTAAACACACACACACGCATTCACACGCATACTCACATTTACCCATGCACACTAACCTTTTGCATTAACTATTTTTTTGGTTTGTGTTCATTTCTTGACAAATTTTCCATGTTTTTAATATTTAAGTTATCTTTATTTCTAAATTTTCTAAATTGTTTAAGTAGTTTGTTGTGCGAATTTGATCACCAATTATAATTGGCTAAAGTTTATGTTACCATTGGGGTTAGGCGCTGCATGCTGAGATACAGGTTTAATCCTAGTTCGGCTGCAGAGGCTTACATAATTTGAAATGTACAATTTTCTTAGCCTATTTTATAATTTATAATTAATTATTTTGTATGTCTGTATTATTATTGTTATATATATTATTGTTTAAAGTAAAAATAAACATTATTATTATTATTATTATTATTATAGATTTTACATAGATGGCGCTACGGCTAAAAAGTCATTGAAAAACCAAATACAAAGACAAAAAGGCATAGAAAAATTTGTGAGGTCCGCTGCTAGTTCGACCCGTGGCTTAGTTGGTATAGCGTCTGCCAAGGTATGCTAGAAGACGTCGGTTCGAATCCGGCCGGATCGAAGGAATTTTTTTCTTGTTCTATCTGTGTATTAATAATTATAACAAACAAAAAACTATGTTATGTCTTTATTAAAGTAACAAATATCAAACTCTTTAGACTTAATGATGGACCAATAACTCAAAGAGGACTGCGATTATCGATACTACAGATCGTAACTCTATCTATTATATCTAAATGGCGCTGATCGATAGCCTGGAAGTAGTTTGTATTATGTAAATAGCCATGGATTAATTCCTCTTTAATATGAAATGCAAGTAGTATTTTTTATCTTTGTCACATTATTCGAATATTGAGCCATGAGCTCAAATTATTTTTTGAACTTTGACAAATACGCGTATTAATAGATGGCATTGTGTATTATAAACTAATTTATAAAGTAACGCTTCCTAATAAGGGTAGATGGAGCTAATCCTAAATAAAATAAAAAATGCAGCTGGCAGTGTTCATAAAAATATGTACAATAAACGCCATCTTGTTGTTTTGTTTGTTATCACTAGAAATTAGAGTAGCTTTCATCACTGAAGAAAAAAAACAATGGACGTGCGTTAAGCCTCAATTACTATCAGACCCGCTCGTCAAAACTCACACAATAATTTTAAACACTATGAAATCTGGATAATGATTGGTTGTAATTTCTAATTTAAAAAGAAGTAACAAATACTAGACTGTTATTATAATTTTGTTTATATACTCGATGTATAATTTAAACTTTACCCTGTTGGCATATCATTGATAGTTCAATATTTATTATTGCAAGTAATGTCGTTTTGATTTTATATTGAAATTTCAATCAATGTGCTGCCATCTAGCGGTCAATAGCTGAACGACGACGACGCTTACGAGTGCGTGGAAAATTCGAGATTTTTACTGTTCTCCAAAAATGATGCTATAGCTAGAATAAAACCATATAAGGTTTACTTCGTTTATTGTAACAAAAAAATAAAATAATAAACAGATTATATAGTAAATAACAGAAATTGAAATTGACTCAAATTAAATAACCTAAGACTTAACGATGATATGAAACACCACCATGTACAATATTACAGATGCGGCAATGATGCGCCTATAATTATTGCACTCGAAAGTAGCAAAATATTTTTTTAACCGATTTCAAACAAGGAGGAGGTTCTCAATTCGACTGTTTTGTTTTGCGTGTATGTTACGAGATTACTCCGGCATTTGGGAACCGATTTTGATGATTCTTTTTTTGTTGGAAAGAGGGTACATCAGCATTGGTCCCATTTAATTTTGAAAATATTCTGCGTCTAAGTGGTAAATTAGGGCAAAATCCGGTTTTGCGCACTTTCAATGCCGATTTCAATAAAACTTGGCAAATAGATAATTCCACGAACTTTTGAGGTCGGTTTCTTTTTATAATTCTAAATATTTTGATTACATATTTACAGTTTAAATATTTTTATTTTTTTAAATTTTGAGGTTTTGCGAGAGATAATTGACATTACCATAACATACAAAGCGAAAAAGACGGACAGACGGACGGAACGAAAGCTCAAGTATGTGGAACTCCATGTACTGTTGGCACACGTGTCATGTCGACTAAGCACTTCAACTGTATTTATTGTTCTGTGGCTTTGGTAAAATGAAGCTCGTTAATGTAAAACAAATTTGTTAGAAAAATAGATGTTTAGAACTCGTCGCGACATCAGGCGTACCTATAGGTATTAAATACCCGACTGCGCTATCTTGTAACGCAATTAGCAGTCTTTCCGAAGTTCATGTTTGTACATGTAAGATAATTTTGAAGTCATATTTTTTTATATTTAAAATAAGAATACATTTTGGGTTACTATAAATCCTAAAGGTTTGATGGTGACCAACAATATGACAACTGGATCTCTGTACTGCGAACAGCTAACAGTGTAAAATTTACACTTAAATTTTATGGTTTTTAAACTCTTCATGTTTTACATTAAATTTAATTGAAATGTTACATAAAATTACAAATAACATTTTAAACATTTGTTTTCCTCTAAATTTATAATAATTTGCAATACAGTGTAGCGGAATATTTTCAATATAAAATTCCATTCCATATTAGCGAGCGACTTAATTGTAGTTAAATAAGCATTCCATTATCCCACAACATATATAGTCACAATGTTATAATTGCTTTGAAGAGGCATAAATATACATTACTTTTTTTATGTTCCAATCTGTAGCCATAAGGTCATTAAGTCACCGTTTAAGTATTGTAAATCACATAGGCATCGAATTTAGAATACAATACAAAAAGAAATAAATAAGATTTAGTAATCCCATCACAGTTCCCAAAATTTTATGATACTGTTATTTCCAGGAGTTTCGTACAATGACACCAATAACCTGGTCTCAAACAAGGGAAGTCCTTGTACAATCAACAGTACATTAAAGTACTTAATTTCGTTCGAATATCGCCACGGTACAAGATCTGTTGATAAGTAACAGACCAGAGGCAGTTTTTTAAAGTATGTTTCCTAAATTGCTCCTACTGGAAGTCATAAAAAAATGATAAAATAAAATGTTTCTTTATTTAGGTATACACCCATTAATAAATTTAACATTATTTATTACATTACGTTACATTACTTAACCAATTAAATTGAATTTTAAATATTATTATCATTAATGAAGTAAATAATTAAGAATTACATTGAATTGAATTGAATTTACATTAGAAATAATAGTATAATAATAATAAATTAATTTACAATTTAAAAATGGAGTGGTCGCTTACAAAGTAGCATGCATCGCATACTGTCCTTACGATTATATTGGCCGAATCGCTCACTCTCATAAGAAAAGACCAATATCTCTATCATACCCAAGGCCTCCTCCACAAGCAAATATAGTGCAAACTACTGGGCCACCGAGGATGTCTATCTTCAAGCTTACTAATGAAAGTGGAAAAGTAACAGTACTTACAATTTCTCATCTCGTTGTCTCTGAATATTTCCAGAGGACTGGAAAAGCAATAGGTCTACGTCATCCTCAGGCACAGGGGCCACAGTCCGTGGTGCAGCATTGCTTGTCGATGTAGAGGGACCTGCCTGCACCACAGTTGTTGCCGACTGCTTGTTGGTGGTCTGGAGGAAGAAGGAACATGTTAATTCCAACCGTAGTAAACTTTTCCGATAAGAAAATATATTTAGTGTGCATAAGTCCCAAACATTTTAATTAGTACACTGAGCAATTTTCTAATTTATAACTACAAAGAAACACTGTATTTGTTTTAAAAAATGTAGGATTTAAAACAAAAAACAAAATCAGAAAGCCAACAACATATAAAACAAGAAAAACTGGCTAACCTCTGCACTAGTTGTGGGCTGTTCAAAGAGCACAGCTCCGTTGACGGGCGTAAGGTAGAGCATGTCACCATGCTGCAAGCCCAGGTCACGAAGACGCCGTGACTTGCTGGAAACGACCTCTTCGCGGCGAGCACGGTCGCGGAACAACGCGAAAGCGAAACTTGACAGGTTCATCTCGTCATGTACACGCTCGAACAGCTGCGCCGTCACGTCCGAGTCCACCATATCCACACGTACCGTGCCTTCCGCCGACTGCACTCGCAGCGTCTACACAGGCACAACAATCAGCACTTGACATTGACCCCATCCATATACCTCCCGATTTTACAATGTATGACCATCGCACTGTTACTCTGGAAGACCTATAGTGCCTCCAGAGTTTTTAACTTAAATAATTAAGCGGTGGATTAAATTTATAAGAGAAAACATTTGAAATTTCAAAAACTTGTCACTCGTACGGGAGATCAGGTTGCTAATGGAAACCATGTAAGTTAGACCTCTGTGAACTATCAGAGGACGTAAAGGATGAACGAAGTCAATAGGGAAATTACCATTTTTTTGGGTCCAGCCATATTTTTCTAATTAACAACTAAAAAAACTGCCTGCACGAACAATACAACATGACATGACAACATGACATAACAAAACTTCAATTTTCTGTGCGAGATGCGTTCACAATCAACTATGAACTGTCAAATATTAAGCACACTGTACACGGTCAAATATTGTGTACGTCAAGCGTGACATTTAACATTTAAAGTTAACTTTATGTCGCTTCTGAAAAGTCTGTCCAGTCCAAAGTATCGTATCGAGTTTGATGTATGCACAATACTCACTTGATTGAGTGCACATGTTGAGCACATTCAAAAATTTAGCGCAAAAATAAAAAGTTCGAATTTTATTGTTCGGGATAGGCAAATAAGGAACAATAACTTTTGGCACCTGTATACTTGTTGTGGATCTGGATCACTGCGGCATAAATGAAGTCTGACCACATTTTATGGTCTAACCTAGTGCTTGGGTCATGGAAAATTTCCATTTTAAATAAAATCATATTTTTCAGAAAAACAGATGCTTTTCTAGATATTTTTCAAATATTTTTCCTTTAATTTTCCACATTTGACTTTAACGCCTTGTCATAAGTTGACGTTACTGAACGAAAACGATGGAGCTATCTAAAAGGTTTTTTCAAGATTGTGAAATCATTTTAAATATCATTTTTCTGTAAAAGTTATAATTTTCTGTAAAGTTTATTTTAAAATTCACGCTAAATAAAACTTTAAACGATATTTCTAAACGTAAAGCCTTTATATGAGCCTTCGAAATTCCGAAAAAATTTCCATTATTTGAAATTTTTCGGAAAAGTACCCAACAATAGTCTAACTTATCGGTCTGTGCTTAGGTTACCTTGTCTACAATAATTTGAACACAGATGTATTTTCATCAATGTCATCGTGACTGCTGTCAATGTCAAAATTGGTCAAATCATGGAAAAATGAAAGTGTAAAAAAATATTTTGTTTAAAAGTGAATCATTCATTTGAAATATATTACCAAAAAGTAACTTAATGTCCCATGAAAAATGCTAATTTAGTAACAAACGAATCGAGCCAACAATAATGAACTTTTAGAAGACTTATGTAAGTATACAAATTTTTTGCGCGAATTTGATTTGTTTCAAATTGGATAGGTTTAAGAAGGCCCATCTCGACTTGATGACGGCACAGTGGTTACTGGTGGTTACTACAGAACGAAATTACATGGTGACGATTGTGCGGAGGTGTATTGCGTGTTATAAATAGGAACATGACGGGAAGCGGGGTGGTGCGGTGAACCCAGGTGGGTTGCAGCCTGCAGTAGTCGACGGCCCGCGTTTCACCGCTCGTGTTGCACTCGCCGACGAATTCTGCATAAAGTCAGATCTGTGACTCTGTAGTGATAATACTTTGTCTGAAATTGTGATTTATTTTCTATTCATAGTTTTGTGGATTTATAGCACAGGTATTCGTTATATAACATAAACATAAAAAATGTGTTTTGATTGTAGATTATTTTATTTTTATTTTTTGAATAATTAATGAAGAAGTAAAAATAAAATGGCTAGTTTTTATATTAAGAATTAATGTTTCTTTTTAGTGCACTATGCTTAGAGTTACTTAACTTATTTTTGCCTTTTTAATCTTGTGGCTCTGTAGCCAATGCTCAATAAATAAATAATAATTTGTGTTAATTAATAGAGACAGTGTAGTCTGTAGTACCAGGTTGTTGACTAGGTCTTTCAAACAACAAAATAAATATAAACTAGTTTTCATTTTTGTCAACTTATTACTTTAATATCACATGTCTTAAAGTACCCCATGTATGAACATGTAATATGGTATGGTGTATGGTGGGTTTTGTATGTATGGTATGGTGTCTATGGTGGGTCTTGTGTGTGGTGGATGCAGAATTCTACTCAAGCTACTTGAGCTCCTCTAAGAACTGCAGCATCCTCTTTAGTTTCTTAAACTCTGAGGCATTTCATACATGAATTGGCCTCCTTAGAAAATTATAGTAGGATGTAATATATTATTGTTCTTTCTTCTTCCCTATCCATGCAAGCAATGCATAGAGAGCTATCCGTGATACCAAATTTGAATATGTGTTTATTGTAAAAACAAAATGAAAAGACTATTCTTCAACACAAGTTCACAACAAGTTTTATAAAAATCATTCAAATAAAAATCTTCAAATAGTGGCTTAAAATAAATGGCTGTGTTAAAGAAAGTAACAGCCTCAGCAATTTGCTAATTTTCAGTCTTCACCTTGTATATAATTTAGAACTACAAGGGGAGTATATTCATCACTGTAGACACTGCAATATGCCTTTTCTAATTAAATATATAATTAAGAAAGCACTACACTCACTGCAATTATACACTATTATATATATATAGAAATTCCAGTTAAAATTTTTATACCAAACTACAAATGATATATTATATGGACTTTGGCCCGTTAAAGCTGCAGTTAGGGTACAGAGCTCTTGTCTTTTAAGACATTTTTGAGAAAGACAGGCATTGAGCGTTAAGGTTCTGTTCTAGGCTGACTGCCATAAAGGTTGTCTAAGCATTGTTGTATGACGTATTAACATATCTTGTAGTTAAATTATCAATTACAATTTCAGCATAGTGCTCTGGAAACCACGGGCAGTATGGCAACAGAGGAGGGAGTACCAGTGGACCTGTACATATATGACCTAACACATGGACTGGCTTCTGTATTTTCAGCGAACATTTTAGGTATGTGTCTGTACCTATTGCACCTCCAAAAACAAATTAATGTAATTAAATTTTTTTTAAGTAACAAAATATATTTTAAAGAAAATTATGTACAAAATAAAACTCCATTATATCTTTTTCCATATCATAAAGAGTTTTGCCTTATTGTGCCACTGACATCATTTTATTATTGACTATGAATTATTTAAGTATGAATCTGATTGTTATGAAACGTGCATAACAAAGAAAATTTACAACCCTTGGAACATTGTGACGTGTTCAACCCTCATTGGGCCAACCCTCTCTTTAAAGAGGAGTGGGACTATAATAACTTGATGGTGATGATGTCTATACTTTTACCAAACAGCACCAGTTTTTATTGTTATTATTCTTGTACTATTTTGTTTTGTATTGAGAATGATTGTTTATATTGGTGGCAATCATGAATCTATTTATATTCTATTCTACTACATAAGGCCATACCTTCAAAAATAAAATGCTAGAAACAAATAAACAATTAAAATTAATCATTCACAAGTGTTGCCACAGCATAGAAGCATAAATAAGTGACAGTTTCCTAAAATAGGTAAATGTTGAGAGTTGGGTACCTTCCAATTTACTTGTTACTCTTTGTTTGTGACATTGTACCTATTATTATTATCATGGGGAATTCTTCAATGCACCTTAATGGTAGTTTGGGCTGAACTTGCAACACACTACCTTACTATTGCATGCTAAGTGCGACGTATGGTTGATGCCATCTTCATTATTATTATTATTTTTTGCTTGGCATTACTTTTTTATTTTTTTATTGACTTTGGATGCCATTTAGGCTTATTACAGAGGTTCCATAAAATTATTATTATACCATGTACAGCGTCAAGAAAACGTCAAGCTTGACACTTAAGATTTAAATCCAACTCTATGCCGCTTACGATAACAACGGTAACCAAAGTATAAAGTGTCAAGCTTGACATGCTCTTACTGTACCTGTAATAATGAACAAATAAGTGAAGAGACTTTAGTAGCATTAGAGCTCCTTGTGAAAGAGTTCGTCCAGGGAAGTACTGCCACCTTACCTATTTCTACCGCTAAGCAGTAATGTGAGCATTACAGACAGATGGAACTTGTCAAGTTTCATGGTGACGGGCGCAGTGATAATGCCTCTCAGATGTTCGCGTTTTAAAACTCTTGAGTGGCACTGCAACTGTCATGGATAGGCGTGTTGCTTATTACCAAGCACACTACTTGTTCATCCCGCGCTCAAAACAAAAAAAAATGTCATTAAAAAAAACTAATTGAAAAGAGATAACTTGTCTCAGGTGATGATCTTCTCTTCATCAAGAATTCAGCAGACACTGATGGTATGCTTTCGTGTTGAATGTGAAAGAGTTGTAATGTGTTTAATTAAAGTAATCCTTACTGAAAACTAATTATTTTTTATACAAAAAATTTACATTTCAATGTTTTACTCTCCTTGCATTGATATCAATTTGTTATTGTTTTTATCTCAAGAATTTGGCTGCTTGTCTGCATTCAATAACTAAGCATGTGCTCTGTCTATTATTAAATAAGTAACTGAATAATATTCTAGTACAGTAATACCCCACTTCCCGATTCTTCCCCGATTTCGTTACAACGTTATTTTCAAAATTCGCGTTAAATTACCCCACTTTACGCGGATGCATTGATTTGATGAACCACAAGAAATTGAAGTGACAGTTCAGAATGTGTTACCGTCAATTGCAATTCAGGAAGAGATTTGTGCTCTTAAAATCCTTGTAAGCCTAGACAGCGATGTAGACCGTGTTTTGTTTTTCCGCACATCAATACTAAATGGAATAACTTGTAATGAAAAACTTTTACGAGAACACAAAAAAGTGAAATAGTTAACTATGGTCTCATTTCTTTGTGAAATGGGTTTCGATACGCAAATAAAACGCGTTCGTTACAATATTTACCTTGTCATTCGATCATACCTCGTCCATCCCTGGTAACAGACGTTAGGTCAAGTTACCCTAGGGCGACCAAAAATATATGACACCAGGCGGACCACACAAAAAAAAAGAACAACCCCGTTTTACGCGAATTTAGCTTAACGCGATTTTCTCCCTCGCGTAAAGTGGTGTATTACTGCGATGCTTCCAATGAACACTACGCTAGCATTATTTTTTGGTCAGTTTCTGTTATTTTTGTAAACAGCTACATTTATTTATTAATATTATGCTCCCCGAATTTTGTGAAAAAAAGAAACAAAAAACAAACTTGAAAGAAAAAAACATGAAAAACGAATTTTGTAAAAAAAATAAAAAAACACAAAACAAAGTAAAAACAGAACAGGTCCAAAAATTTTGTTGAAATAGTGTTCATTGGAGGTATTGAGTGTATACGATAGAAATCTACGGAAGATATACTAAAAATGCCTCACGAGGTTGTTCCCATTCTTCGTACAATAATGTATATTTATTTTAGGAGATCTGCTTTCGTTCATTGTTGCTTATTAATAACAAATTAATCTCGAGTTCTTAGGTTTTCGCGACTGTTACACATAGGAAATGAAACTATTTTTCCGTATTTAAATCGCGTATATTTGTTTTTTTAAACAAACTGACGTTTCGGGCCCTTTACGCGTCTCATGGTCACGGTTGACTGAGATGGTACAGTCTTCAACCATGTTATGTCTAATATTAATGCAAACCACCCTATTTTTTCACTCTAGTTACAATAGTTAATAATTAAATACCTTATTTTTAATTTTACAAAGAAAACATTCCAATTTACGCTACATTAAGTTTTACAAATTATTTTATTGACTGAATTTTTATTAAGTTCAATTTATTATTAATTAAAGTAAAGGGCCTGTAAAGGGCCCGATACGTCGGTTTGTTTGAAAAAACAAATATACGCGATTCAAATCCGGAAAAATAGTTTCATTTCCTATAAATAACAAATTAATTCAAAGATCACAGGTTATTCTGTCAGTTGGAAAGACAAGTTATAGTAGTTGCAATTGGAGATGTCAGTAAGACTAAATTTTTCTAAATACTTCGTGACCTACTTTCCATCGCGACTGACAGACAGCATCATTTAGTGAACACTCGATTTGTTTCAAGGATTGTTTTGTCGTTCTACTTACAATTTTGTACACCTAAAGATAATCATGTTTTAAAGTAATGTGTTTTTTTTATCTTATGGAGTAACCACATTTATAAATGCAAAATCGCATTGCGCCGGTCAGAAAATGCTTTAAGCCAATGAACTTAAGAGCGACTTTCTGTGATGTTTCGAAACGGACGTTTGTAGGTTACAGTTTTCCAGATTTAATTTTTGAATATTTGAAAACTTCAAAATTATATTTTGACACAAAGTGCATGGGGAGGGGCCTTGAAAATGTAATGTAAAGGGAGCATTAATTTCTGCTCAGAATGACTTACTTCCACGTTTGTATAACATTTTTAAAGCTGATTAAAATTGTTGTAGTGGTCGGCGCGCGAACTCTGCTTAATGCGACAAGTGTGGTTAAAGATAATCGCATTCCGCTTTAATGGGATAATTGGGGCTGCGCTTTATGCACTGATATAAAAGTGTAGAACGGAATGCAGAACAAGATGAGGCAAATGCCTGTCTATGCACATTGAACGCGACTGCATCGTCTTGAATCACAATTTCAATGAAGCTTTATATGCTTCGCACTGTCCTTATATTCGAAATTGTATCTGCTTGGTAACTGATAAATCAGCTTGTCATTGTAGCTTAGTAATAGGTAGAATGGTGCTTTCCGTTCTGCAGTTGGTTATTTGAGCGCATCGAACCGGTTTCTTTGAAATAGTTTGTAATTGCCCTACGTAAACGAATGGGTGTAATTCCCTCCAAAAAATCTCGCTCCGCTGGAACGAAGTGATGTAGGAGCCCCAATTACACCATACTCGCATGGTTTGTTCTTTTTA